CTACCTGAAAACTTAGATGGTGTTGCTCTATATAACAGTTCTCAATTACCTTGCTTCTAAACTATGGTTTGCAACTGCTCAAGCTGAAGTTTTCTGTAGATGCATTTACTATTCAATGTCTAGTTTTCCAGGATTCCAGTGATTGCTGATAATTATCTAACCATTCATGTTTCTTCAAGGAGTTTCTCCTTTTTCTGAGGGATGTTCTATGGTTCTAATAGAGTTACATCAACAAAATTCTCCTCTGGTAGTCGTATTTTTATCTTATACAGTGTCTATTACCTGTTTTTCTTGGTATAGGGTAAGCAATACTGTGACAGCAGAACCAATAGCCCTCCTGCACAGAGACTAAGCTGGTTAAAGGTACAAGCTTACAAGCGGTTATCATCAGTGTCCCTGTCCTCTGGTGCTTCAGGGTAATTGTTAGGTTATTGCGTCCCATTCACCCTTGTATAGTCCTGTATAATTTGAGTTTTTTTATTGCTACATATATTGATTTCCAAATATAAAATGTTCTAGTAGCCTACTAGTAAGCAGGTAAAATTTACTTAAATGGTAAATGTAGTTTTTCTCTGGTTAAACTGTTCGATGATTTTAGGGAAACCTTTTGAGGAATGCTTTGCTCTTGCATACCAAGTGATAAAATTTCCTAATACAAAATCTTAACAATACAAGATCTTGTTCTGTTACTTTATAACCTCAAAACATTACGGTACCAGAGAGGGGTATTCATTCACAGAGGTACTGTTTTGTCATTTTGAAGTTCAAATACTTTTTTTTGTGTGTGTGTGAGTGTGTGTATCACACAACGCTGATCAGATTTTGTGAAAAACCTGAAAATGATCATGTGTGTTGAGTAAATCATGTTATTTTGTGTACTTGAAATGCTGCTTTTTTTGAGCCCTGTATGTTCGATAATAGCAACAATGCTTTCCTTTTAGTGTAATGGGGCCAAAATACAGGCAACTTTGCTGCAGCTTGACAAAGACCCTACAGCAAAACCTTGAAGTCAGGCTTTCCTGTGAATAATTAAAGGAGCAAGTTTGGGATTAACTAAATAACATACCTATATGTAATGAAGCAATGCTGAGAAGTGTACAGTAGGAGGATGTAATTTCTGTGTTCTTAGGCTTTTTCAAAGCTCCTACATGGAAAAATATGAATTAGGACTAGGATGAATGGATTAATTTTTACTTTTTTTTTTTTCTTTTCTATTTCAGTTAATGCATTACTTCCACCTATAACTTTCTTCCAAAAGTTGAAGTGAATGAAATCACTTTCAACTTTAATAAAATTAAAATGCTAGGAGAAGCATTTGGGACAGGGAATTTTCATGTGTATTTTCTAATGAATGACATTTTCCAGCTGGCCCTGTACCCTGTCTAATATTTTGCACAGCCTTGGAATTTTGGTTCTGCATGCTTTATTTGCCATGGATATTTGCATCACTGAGAGTATTTTGAGAGGGACTCTATTGAGAATAAAATTTTATTAACTCACTGAGGCTATAATATTATTTTTATGCAATAATTGTTCACTTCTGACAGCTTTTCTGTAATATTACAAATCAGGTGAAAGCTAAAATATGGAGTTTATAATCCTTGTTTTTTCTAAATGATAACGATAGTACTCATCAAGTTGCTGTTTACTAGGGAGTCTCAGTCCCTTATACACTATTGAATGGAGTGAGAGGGATGGAAATCTGCAGAAAAACTGACCCAGACTTGTCAATGATGTCTGGGTGCTGCTTACAGCAGCCCAGTGCAAAATTCTTTCTGGATCTGGGACCTTACAGCTGTCTGTGCATGTGGTCCCTTGATCAGCTGAGAAAGTATGGGCAGACCCGCTCTGCAATGCCATTCCTGTGCAAGTAATGCCAAGTGACTGTTTCTGTTGTACAAATGTGTATAGTATGTGCTTTGTAAGAGAGGTAAAGATGATTCTAGGGAAAAAACTGGCTGGTGACATTTGAAAAGTTTCTTGCTCTGAAAGAATATTTGATAGGGTTTTTTTCTACTTTCATTTGAAATAAAGCAGCCTACTTTGAATGACAGGTTTTCATCTTTCCTAAAGGGGAAGAAAGTAGCAAAATAAAAGCTTTGATTCGCTTCTCTTGAGGGATATTGGAATATATTCCATAAATTACAATGTCATCTTCATACCAGGGTTATTTTAATTCTTCCAGTGGTCTTCGAATCTTTTTTAATTACTATTTCCTGAGTTTTATGTGGCATCTAATGAAAATATGTAGAAGTCTTCCAACTTGCTTTAATGTCCTGACCTCAGAAACACTCACCTTAGGAAGGCTGATCTCAGCAGCACTGACCGCACACCAGAGATGGTTGTCATTAAAGCATAAATCTTTGTGTTTCGGGTTTTTGTTTGTTTGTTTATTTGGTTGGATGTTTTGCTGTTTTTTTTTTTTTTAGTTGGTTGTGTTTTTCATTCTACGATATAATGTTTTATCTTTGATCTGCTTAAGGTTCTGGCACTTTGCTGTAGGCAGACACACTATGGTGTTCTTGAGCACCATTGCTGAAGCAGACTATGAAAATATCAGTAGAGATATGAACACCCAGTTGCTGAACAGTAGGGTTTATAAGCTACCAAATGTTTTTCATCAGCCTGTGGTTTTGCTTTCAGCCTAAAAGAACTGAAAAAATTTTGTTTGTGGAAAAGCTCAGTACCTGCTTATTAGCTGTGTGACAGTGGTTTTCACACAAGTTTATTGCTTATTTTATGTAAACTTCAAAGGGCTTTATAAAAAAAGAGATGTTTAACTACTGGAAAATTAAATAAATCTGAAAGATTGGAATAACTTGGAGAAGACATTTTTTTTCCATTTTTTTTTTTTCTGGGAAAATTGATAATATAAGCTGCATCTGGAGATCTGTCCCAGATCAGATTTTCCATGTTTAAGGCTGAATGCAGTATGGGTTTTCCACCCCTGCATGTGTGTGCGCGCACACCAGATTTTATCAAGGGCAACAAGAAGGAGCATATCTTTGAAGAGCTTAGTATGACATTTTCTTGAGTCACTGGTATAAGATGCTTTAGTGTTTCTTTCTGTTCAAATTATGCTCTATCCATATTATGCTGCAAATATACTTCTCTTGAACTTTGTTCTTTTAACTGCAGCTGGTTCAAGTGCCTTTCTAATGCTTGCTCTTCTAATGTATATTTTTTCATGACTAGGTGCCTTTCTGTAATGAGCTCCTTTCTTCCATGCTTTGACACATAAAAGTATCCTGGTTTTAAAGTGTGATATTTAATAATGTTTTGCCAATTTTAATATAAAAACTCAAATAGCATTATGACTGACTTTTTGAGAAAACCTTTGGATGATTTGTGAACTTTTGGTCTTAGATTTTTTTATCCAAGAAGTAAATGATTTTAAGTAGTATAATGATTTTTGATTAGTTAGTTATTAAGTAAACCACTTGGCATGATACTCTAAAGAATAAGGAAACATTCTGACACATAAAAGTAGAAAGTAACTGTTGTGATTTAATGGCCAACAGAAAAGGTTTTTTCTTTTAAGATTTTTATTTTTCTCTTTAGTAAAGGGAAATTGAAACTAGGTTTTGTTTTTTATACTTAACATGCCCTTTCCTATTAAATTATTATTCACCTTGACATATTACTTTGGTTAAAGAGAAATGGGAAGAAGTTGGCTGGGAGGGGCCGATAGCTGTTCAGGGATGGGATGAGCATCAGTCAGTGGGTGGTGAGCAACTGTATTGTGTGTCACATGTTTTGGGTATTTTATTCCTTTCTGTTATCTCCCTTTTCATTGCTATTAGTACTATTATTATATTTTACTTCAATTACTAAACTGTTCTTATCTCAACCCACAGGTTTTACCTTTTTCCCATTGTCCTCCCCATCCCACTGAGAGTGAGGGGAGAGAAGTGAGTGAGTGGCTGCATGGTACTTAGTGACCGGTTGGGGTTAATCCATGACAATGCTGATTTAATCATGGTTACCATATATTTTAATTACAATTTATTTATGTTATTTTAGTTTTTTTAATTGTTATAATCATAAGCTGTTTTCTTTCATTGTGTTTGCTTCATTGCAAGTATCAATGCCTGGTCTATGACAGACTTTTTCACAGGGTATTGTTTGTTACATGGTTCTGAATTGAGGCAGTTGCTTCTAAATGAAATTCCTTCATAGGAGTAATAGTGTGTAGCTCATACATGGGAAGAGAACTTAAATCAGACCCGAAACACAAACCGTGAATTCTGTAACATTTTGTATCACTTTTACAGTCATTTACAAGATTTATCTTATCCAGAGCATTAAAGCATATCAGATGTATTGCTGGTTTCCACAGAGAGTTAGATGTGTTCTGTATCTGTGCAGCAGCACTGCGATCACGTGTCATCTTGCTTTTGACATTTTTAAAACAGTTTGACTGCAGCTGGCGTGTGGTGGTGGTGTTTTCCATTGATGTTAATTGCAGGCATAAGAGATGGCTGTTGGGAAATATAGCCCAAATATAACTGTATATTTGTTGTTATTAGATTTGTGTTAGTGTTTGAGCTGCTGATATGCAGAACTGAGGGTCTTCTCTTGGCACAATCTGTGGGTGTGTGTGACTGTAACTTTGACCTCTTTTGCTGTTTTATTGAGATTTTACCTGGGTCTATAAGGACATGCAAGCCAAGCAAGATTGTGTGCTGCTGTACTTCAGGTAGCTGCAGTCCTCAGAAGTTCCTCTGGTCAGGATGTGGGCTCTTCTAGTTTTGCTGTTAATTGGATGATCATTATCTGTTTCAGCCTCATTTCCAGCAGTTGTTTATTCTCGTTTAGGTGCTCTCCATCTAAGCTTCTTTGAACTATACTTCTAGAATACTTTCTTCTTATTGCACTCTTTCAGATGTGAAGTATAATAGACAACATGTTCAGTGAACATGCTCATTTAGGAGGTGTTTGTTTTGGCTGTTGGAAAAAAATCAATTTTTTTTTTCTTTTTTTCTCCAACAGGTTTTATATCATGCCATTTAGGATCATATTGATCCAAGAACTATAAGGCATTACTTCATTGAGGCCAATGGAGATAATTCTTCAATAGCCATAATTCCACTTGTCTGAATGCTACAAAAATTGACTTCTAAATCACCAGGTAAGCCTGGGAATTTCCTTATTAGTTTCTTTACTATTAATTTTTTGTTAGGATAGGTCAGGAAGGCTGAGCAACCATTCCTATAGGTAAGGGACATGGGTGGCCTGGTTTTCAACTCTCAACTTGTCATGTTTCCAGTGCTGACTCCAGACTTTGACCTGGGACAGGTGGAACATGGACTAAATGATCACAGAAAGCTTAATGTTTTGCTAGGCCTACACAGCAGTCTGCATGTACCTTTCTTCATTTCTATTCCCAAAACCAGCTTTTGGAGCACAAAGTTCTTTCAGGAATTAACCAGATTTTTGCTCCTCTTAATGCTTCAGGGGTTGTATTTCAGGTGTGTAACTGGTCAGATGTTTCTGTTGCACAAGTTCTTCCTTATCCTGATGTCAGTAATGATGGGAGTAGGAGTTGGGGAAAGAAGGATGCTTTAGCCAGCATCACAGTAAAAGCTCTCCCCTCTCTGTAGTCTCTCAGGAATGGGTCTGTGCTTGGCTTGTTGCCATGCTAGTTCAAGTGGGACATTATAACTCTGTCTGCGATCTGGACTCATGGCTTTAAGGTTTGTTTGGGTTTATTTTGAAAGACTTGGATGCAGCTGTCTCAAATTTCCTCTTGAATGTTCATTTGGCCTTGCTTGTAATGAGCTGAATTTCATATTGCCTGTACTGTACAGTCTGCTCGCCACACAAATCTTAACAGCTTTAATAATTCCCCTAACCATCCAATTAGACTAATAATAAAGGCTTAATTACATATCCAGTTAATCATCAGATTTGTTCACTGAATGGCTTTAATTGGTAGATAGAGCTGTTACACTACTTCGGTTTGAAAGCTATCCCCCATTTTTGCTCACAGCTATATCCACCCAATTGTTTTTATGACTGGGACTTGACCAGCATTTATTAAGCCAATAAAAAGGCTCAGGAGCAAAGGAAAAATCACCCAGTCCTGTGGCAACATCCTTCTATCTCTGGGTGCCCGTGTTCAAGCCAGAACCTCTCTTTACGGTGCTCTATACTGCCTATGTTGAAGGAACTCCAAATAGCAAATGGCTGCTTTACAGGTTTCCAAAAATGAAGCTGTTCTGTATTCTGCCCAGGTAATTCCCTCAAAATGACTGTTAAAGACTCTGGGACCTGGAAGCCCCTTGGCTTTGTAGGATTCAATAATGCACCACCTAAGCCATTTTGAAATAGATACTTCAGTAGCCCTGAGTCTTTTCTTATTATGGAAACACATAAATTGGCTCATCCTGTAAAACCCTTCAGTTTTAAAAATGTAAAACCTAATTGCCTTATGGACATTCAAAGAATGGAGGCACTTCTCTGGGGAGATTTTGCACTGAACCAAAAGATGACAGAACTACTTACTGATTAAAAAGAAAAGAAGAGTTAACCTCTTGATGCCAGTTGTCAGGATTTCCCCTACATATATTTCTGCCTGGATTAATTGCTACTATATTTCTACACCACACAGTTCTTCATTTTCTTAAGGGTTGAATGGGGTAACTGGTTACAGAAACCTCATTGTCCCAGTCATGTTCCCTTCATGCTTTCAAATCAAATGCCCTGTACAATTGCAAAATAATTTCCTTCCTTTAACAAGCCTTCCAGTATCCTGAGTTCAGAAGACTCGTGTTCAATATTGAGCTTTAGCTCAGAATATTGACCTTCACTGTATTTTATGAAGGCATCATTTAAAACTACCTTAGGTGGGAGAGCCTTCTAATATGTCAAGAATAATTATTCTGCCTTTGCATAAATAATCTGTTATCAGAGGAGAAGAAATGGGGATATTTTTAGCAGGCTTTACACCCTGGGGAGCTAAATGACACAAAAAATGAACTTTCAAAGTCTTGGTCTATAGAAAAAGGAGCAGTGTGTGACAGCAAAAAAAAGTGAATTTCTGTGAATTAGTACAACTCATTATTCGTGCCATACACACTCGCTGTAGTACATTCACTGCACTGTAGCTAGAATATAAAATAAACGCTGGCAGCTGCCTCCCTGGCCTCAGTGGCAGCCGCTCTGATTGGATGCCACCTGCAGCATGGCAGCGAGCATCAAGGAGCTGCGAGCTGGGGAGCATGCAGAGCGACTGTTCCTTAAAGTGTGTGTCACAAGTTACCTTTAAATATATTTAAGTGGTTTAAGCTTAACAGGAGCCTCAGTTCCCCCTTGCAGCTCTTTCAAGGGGGAGAAGAGGTGTACGTATAGATCAATAGCACTTTGACAAACTGCATTTCCATAGCTGGATCCCTTTTATTTAAAAAAAAAATAATAAATAAATAAAAATTCAGAAAATACACAGAAGCTGAACCCCCAGTATGAGAAATGATCCTACTTCAACATTCTTATCTTTAGAGTCCTGGATTTTGGTGCAGGAGCTATAGATTTGTTTAGTAGTCATATTGCACATAAAGATTAAATGTCAGTGATAGTACAGTGTATAACCTTTCGATTAACTTCTCTCCAGATAATTAATGTAGTTACTCATAATGTGCATGTGTTGGATGGCTGCACGCAAAGAGTTGTAGTCAATGGCTCAATGTACGGCTGGAGATCAGTAACAAGTGGTGTCCCTCAGGGATCTGTGTTGGGACCGGTCTTGTTCAATATCTTTGTGGCATAGACAGTGGGATTGAGTGAGCCCTCAACAAGTTTGCTGATGACACCAAGCTGTGTGGTTTGGTTGATACACTGGAGGGAAGGAATGCCATCCCGAGGGACCTTGACATGCTTGTGAGGTGGGTAGATACCACCTCATGAAGTTTAACCATGCTGAGTGCAAGGTACTACACCTCGGTCGGAGCAGTCCCAGGCACAGCTACAGGTTGGGCAGAGAAGAGATTCAGAGCAGCCCTGCGGAGAAGGACTTGGGGGTGTTGGTTGATGAGAAAATGAGCATGAGCCGGTTTCAGTGTGCACTCACAGCCCAGAAAGCCAACTGTATCCTGGGCTGCATCAAAAGGAGCGTGACCAGCAGGTTGAAGGAGATGATCCTGCCCCTCTACTCTGCTCTTGTGAGACCTCACTTGGAGTATTGTGTGCAGTTCTGGTGTCCTCAACATAAAAAGGACATGGAACTGTTGGAACAAGTCCAGAGGAGGACCACGAGGATGGTCAGGGGACTGGAGCACCTCCTGTATGAAGACAGGCTGAGAAAGTTGGGGCTGTTCAGCCTGGAGAAGAGAAGGCTGCATGGAGACCTCCTAGCAGCCTTACAGTATCTGAAGAGGGCTATAAGGATGCTGGAGAGGGACTCTTCATTAGGGACTATAGTGACAGGACAAGGGGTAATGGCTTAAAACTTAAACAGGGGCAGTTTAGATTGGATCTAAAGAGGAAGTTCTTTACTGTAAGGGTGGTCAGGCACTGAAACAGGTTCCCCAGGGAGGTTGTGAATGCTCCATCCCTGGCAGTGTTCAAGGCCAAATTGGACAGAGCCTTGGATGATATGATTTAGTGTGAGGTGTCCCTGCCCATGGCAGGGGGGTTGGAACGAGATGATCTTAAGGTCCTTTCCAACCCTAACTATTCTATGATTCTATGATTCATGATACAAATTTAGTACTTTTTTTTAATTGATTTTGAAAAATTCCAGGTCTTGCTGATCGAGCCCTGAGGTGCTGTGTAATGTCCTCATGGAGCAATATGCAATATATTGATATCCCAACAGCATCTAGGTAACTCCAAAACTAACACCTGTACCACCTCATCTCACATCCTTGTGTGTTCTTTTCCCTGGAACTGGAAGGGAAGTATTGGCATAGCCTGTCCTTTAGGAAAGGAAATGAAAAGAAGTACTGAATAGAGTTCACTCATTCCCTTGGTGCTTTCAAGGGCCAGTGAAGCCTTTTGGGAGTGCTACATTTGGTGTCCCCCTTTACCTGCCCTCTTTCTTCTCCTGGCTGGCTGCTAAGACACCTTCCCAGCAAAGTGCCTGAGCAGAGTTATATGTGTAAGCTCATGGCTCTAGAGGCACGTGGAGAGAGCAAGCAGGCTGGGTTGGACAGTCTACATATGAGGAAGGTGCAGAGTAGGCAGGTAACACTGCCATGATGTGCCATTACTGTACACCATGGGAAGAACTTCTAGAGCAGGTTTTGACTTCACAGATACAGCTTTAGAAAAGAACCAGAGATGCCTACATCCATCCATTGCCCTTGAAACCTTGTTAACACCTTGCTCACAAAGATTAATAGTATTGTGACGTAGAGTGCCCAAGTCTCAGGAGATGTTCAAATGTCCATTGCTTTCATACAGTAATAGCATGTAACCTTGTGTTTTCCATTTTCTTGCTTGCAGCAGCTGTAGGCTGTGGTATTTTTTCCTTCCACACATCTAAAGCATCTTCCTTCACTGTGTTTTAGCTGCTTAATTGGTTCCATTTGAAGAGACAATGGCAGATTTAAGGCTATTCCTGTTAGGATGCTTGCTTACACTGGGTGCTGCAGGCCATAATGACATAAACCTCTGAGTGATTAAAAATTTTCCTTTAGACGTAACCCTAGTTTAACAAACTGTTCCAAAAGTTGAAAGGGGTCAGTATATAAAATGGGTAAAACCAAAGTGCCTACTTTTTCTCATTACATTTGAATGTGAATTTTCCAGAGGACACTGCACTCCATTTGCAATAATGGAAAGAGTTACATCCCTCCAATGTTTTTCCTGTAAATGAAAAGAACTAGAGGTAATCCATGATAAGGGGTATTTTTCTGATAATCTTCCATTACTCTCTTAAAAAGTGTCATTACCTGTAACTGTAGTATGCCTCTTATTGAGAAGAGAACATAAATAAGGAGACTTTCCTTATTAGGAAGTTGTTTCTAGGACTATTGCTTTTCTCCACCATTCTGTGTTGCTACCACTGTCCTTGGACTCCATTAAAGGTAACACAGTGCCCGTTTATTGCCTTGCTGAAGCCCAGTGCTGCCTTCTGAACTGTGGGACCCTTATCATCTGTTTTCAGACAAAATGATTTTGTTAGCTTAAATATTTTAATGCTTTTTAAAATAAGGAACTTAGCAGTTCTCTGGTTATTTGTGTCTGCCATACCCTGTTCACTGTAATCAGGCTGAGATTCCTCATCTGTCCCTGCCATTATGCAGTGTAACACGTTACTTACAACCATATCAGGAATCTTCCTGGTTTACGATGGTTCATTAAGTGCATACAATTAAGCATCTGTTCAAACTCAAATGTTAAACTTTATGGCATTTGGGTTGACAATCAAGTGTGTTCAGTACAAATGCCCATTTCAGTACTTGTCTTTTCAATATTTCATTATGTCGTCTTGAAATTAGTTTTTTAGCCTTTTCTCCTGACCCTTTCAAATTCTGCCCTGGGAGAAATGCTTGGTTCTCCCAAAACATTCACAGTTCTGGCCTGGCCTGTCTCGTCTCTGTGACGTGTCGATTCTTGCCTCCCCTGGAAATTATATAAGCTTTGAGACCTTTCGTTTTTCACATTTGGCATCACACATTATTTCCTTCTCCATGTTTATTCAGGTCCAATTAAAACTGCTAAGTGTTTGCTTTTATTTTTTTCACCCACAAAAGCAGTAATAAGTTCTTAGAAAGCTCACAGATCTGCAAACTGTACTCTTGCTAAGTGAAGTTGTCTTGTGATCCTAATACTGTGATTCTTCCTTTTCTCAGTGTGCATCCTTCTGCTTTCCTACTGCTCGTCATGGTCTTGTCAAGCATTCAGATGTAAGCTCTTCAGGGAAGGGCTTTATGTTTTAATATGTTTCTTTATAGCTGCTGGTGCACTGTAAGAATAAATGAATGTTCAAGGTCAGTCTACTAAAGTTTATTTGATGTGCCAAAACTCTTCTCCTGCACTTTGGATCCAGAAGAATGAACAAAATCAAAGATTTATATCTACCAGACTTAACTGCCAAGTTATGAATGTAAAACTACCACAACAGTGGTCTAATGTTTTTTTTTGGTGCTCACCTTATCAAAGGCCTGTTACAGCAGAGACAACCCATTTGAGCCATGATCCTTATGCTGAAGGACACAAACGGGGCTAAGAATGGCTGTCTGATTTGGCCTCTCAAGGAATTATACAGGAACTCTAGGCCATATTTCTCATTTAAATCATGCTTTTCATCACCCTGGAGCTCTCAGGAGAAACAGAATATTTGTGAATCAGTGTTAGCACAAACTTTCCCTACAAAATTATATATTGGCCATGTAGTAGAAGAACCTGGAAGATTTGGGAAGCTGGGGTTGATACATATAAACACCTAAAAAACAAGTACAGCCTAAGAGGTCTGAAGCTTCTGACTATCTTCCAACATTGTATGTGATGATCTTTGTTATTTTTTATGTAACCCCCCAGCACTTCATTCCTCTTGTTACTTACATGTGTATAAGTATCTTTGTCCCCTACTTCAGCCTGCTGGGACTCCTGGCTAAGCAGGAGGTAACTCATTTCCTTCCTTTCTTCTCTTTTGTTTCACATTAGCAGGCCTTAGTTCCTTTCTTTTTTGTTTGATTGCCCCTTATTTTGGCTTTTGACTCCCTCTACCAATCTGTAGCTGCAGCCCAGGAGCGGGACTGGGTGATGTCTATGGCAGACTGTGCCTGCTTAGCTGACTGCCTCCTCTCTGTGGTGGTTTTGGACCAACTCTGCTCTTGCGCCTGCCTCCCCTGTGGGGCTGCGCAGCCAGGCATGCAGCCAGGGCCAGGACACTGGGTTTGAGCAGCTGCCCAGGAAAAGTGGTTGATCTCCTTTCTAGTTCAGCATTCAGAAAAGTCTTTCCAGCATCGAGCAGGAAATAAATATCTCAAAATGTAGGACAACTCTAACAACATTTTGCAAAAGGCAGAAATTAGAAGGCATCATCATGAAGTTGCTTTCTACAGTGTTTATGTTTTCCTAACTTCACTGTTTCAGACATTTTCATCTTGGAAATATGTTAGTGTGAAATAAAATTCAAAATGCCAGGGAAAAATCCACTAGAAGAAAATACAGCAGAAGCAGGCTAATATATTTTTTTTAAGTGCTTACTTATTTGGAATCTTAACTTTTCTGTCTCCTTAACACATGATGTGATCTGCAATCTGTGTGTTTCTCTTGTGTCCTTTTTTAGGATTGAGACGTTTTCTGTTCAGGCACCCATTTAGAGCGGTGAACTGGCATCACAGTAGTTGTCATTTTAGGGCTGGCTTTTGTCAGTCTACATTGGTAGAATGTAGAAGGTCTCTTTTCTGCATATAGATTTTATCTAAAATCTGATGAGTTTGGAGAATTAATCAATTGCTGTCTGAAGTTTTACTGTCTGAAAAGATGCTCTCGTGATTATGTTTGTTGAAAATTATTGATGGAGTGCTACAGTAGTAGACACCATGTAAATCAGGTGGGTGCTGCCAAACCATGTAGTCAGAGGTGCTCTGTGTTGGAGATACAGCTCTTAATGCGGGATTTGGATTAGCCTGTGCAGGAGCCAGGTCTGATAAACCCCCTGGAGTCTTCAAAGATGAAGTCACTGAATTTTTAAAATACATTGTCTATGGCTCTAAAAATGTCAATAATAACATGTATTTACCTTCATTTTAATTTTAGTTTTTTATTCTCACCACTGTGGCTAAGCATCTATTGAAGCTGAAGTTGTTCTTTCCCATTTTGCAATTATTACCTCCTTTATTTGTCTGCCATTATGGCATCTCTCTATTGAATAGGCATTTGGGGGTCCCTGCTGCTGTACATAAGCACGGTACATTTCTGATTGGCATCTCCCAGAGAGTACCCAGTGCTGCTTACATGGGCTGATAGAATGGGCTACAGCCCTTCCTCACTCACAAAATCTGTCCTGAGATATTTGAATAGCTAAAATGGAAGCTTGGTTATTTTCTATGGGAATTACTGCTCATGTATAACTGGGAAGAGGGGAGAAAATAATGTAGCAAGGAAAGCCTTTAGAAAGAGAGAAAGTAGGTGATAAAAATAGGGCATTTCCCTGACTGAATTTCCAGGCTGTACAGCAAGAGGTTTCACTCCTCCTTTTTCTGACCTTAAAAAAAAAAGGGGGGGGAATGGAGGGATGTTGGTGTGTCAAAACAATATTGGAGGTTTCTTAATAGATTTGAAATACAGCTCAAAAGACTTGTATTTTATTTTGCTGTTATTGATTACACTAGAAATGGATGCAGCATGTTTTAAGGCATTCTGTAATTCTAAGGCATGAGATAGTCCCCATCACAGATCCCATGAACCTGGGAACTGGTTAGAAACCTGGCACTGTAATTCTCGAGTTATACATTCCCTGTTCTTGCCACTATCAACTTGATCTAAACTGGGCATACAGTGTAGTAATAGTTCTGAGATTAATGTAGTTAGTAAAAATAATAAAAAAAATCCATAACCAGTTGTATTGGTAAATTAAAAATATGGATTTTTTTTTATGAGATGAAAGTGTGCAAATATGCTGTGAAAATGAATGTGCATGAAGTAGAAATGTATGTGAGTGTCCAACATAAATTGTGTATGTAATATAAAATTGTTTAATGTCTAGTGATTTCAGCTATAAGTGAGCCCCATCTGGTGGTGATATAAAGAAACAACTAAAGTTGTTACTGCAGGAAAAAGATTCACAAAAAAATCTGAATCTCTTTTCAAAAGATCAAAGATTTAACTATATAAATTATATATATAAATCTAGAGTAAATATAACCTCTACACTTTTTAAAAATACTCAGCTCAACAGTGCAGATTAATAGCTATATCTTCATAAAAAATTCAAAAGCATTGTTTTTGAAAGTTTGCAGATAGTTTTTGTCTTTTGTCAGGATTGAATTTTAATGCGAATGTTTGCTTGCTGTCTACTAACTTTTTCAAATTTCTGATTCAAATAAATGTCAACTATTTCTTCAAATTAGTGAAACAGTACTGGACTGGCTTTGTTTATGGTCTCGATCACTTCCTGGAAATAATTACCACAAGTTCCTGTGGTTTTTTTGTACAACAGAGTAGCAGTGCAGCAGCTAATGAGGACAAGAAGAGCAATTGGAAGGGTAGCACTGACAGTGCATGTTTATGAAATTCAAGGTAGGCATCTCCATGGTATTTCTCCTCTGGAGCTGTTCTGTGTTGATTTGCCTTCAAGTCTAGCAGCAATCGTTAAAGAGTTAAGGATTGTCACACAGTGTCTGTTTCGGTGTGACTCCAGGGGAAGACTCTGCCATTAGGGTGGTAAACATTCTGGGTTTCACCTTTGCATAGAGTCCCCATTACAGCAAAAAACTAGATGATATGCAGTTCTTAGGAGCTACGTCGCATGGCTGCAATGGGTTGAAGCCTTGAATGGAACCTCTCTAGCAGCATGATAACTGGGTTTGGAGTAGACATCCAAAACAATCAGTTTCAGTTCTTTATTATTTTGCAGGAAGGAGTTCAATTCTCATTTATTTCCCAAAATACGCATATTTTTACACCCTTCCTCAAGTTTAACTATTTATAGCTCTATATAGATTTGTATGTCCCATATTGGAATTTACCTAATGTAAAACTGATTGATTATGTGTTTTTATAAATGCAGTTTCTAAGTTTATTACACTTACAAATATTCAGGTTTTTGGCGAGTTGTCACATGAGTCAGGGAGTGCCTGCACTTTGCTGGTGTGCTCAACATAGGGGTGAAAAGCAGGGGCTGCTGGGGACCTGTGGTACCAGCACGAAACCTGGCTGCCCATTTTTCCCTTTTTACATGCTGTTAGTCTGTTCTCTCTCTTTTGTTAACGTTGCACTCATGTTTTTACTTGTTCCAATACAGCATCATCTCTGTGGCTAAATGTTTCAGGTTTTGTTTCTTTCTTTTGCATTTACCCCTGACATTTTAGGGAGAATTACAGGGGAAGAGGTGCTGCTGCTGAATTCCTTTAGCCAGGAGAAAATGGATGTTGTGTACTTGAGAGTTCTGTATATGTAGTTGAGAAGTTAGCATCACATACGGTACTAGTCACTAGTGTGCCAACTTCTCTTTTACTGGTCTTCCATTATGGTTCTGTTAGTTCTTGCTAAATCTCTCTGTTCTAGTTTTTGTTAATGAACTGTATGGCTTCCAGCTTACCTGTTAATTGTTTCACGAATTTCAGGATCTCTTTCAGTACATGCTGTTCTTCTGAATAACTTAGAAAGGATTTTCTGTTTGAGAACACCTTGGAAGACTGAGAAATTGAGTTACAGCTAAGCTAACCATGCATTTTGCATCCCCACTTGAACTAATATTTAGACCATTTTATGCTATCTAGTGCTGTGAATTTGCTGTGAATCTCCATAGAGAAGCTATTTCATGAAGCTCTGTGTATGGGGATTTTATGAGCTCTTTCTTTTCCCTTCAGCACTATCTTCCTGCGCTGTACAAATTGTGTAGACTTAACCCTTTTCCCACTTTGCTGGAGGGCTGAGAAGGCTGTGACTTTGATTCTGAGTAGCCCATTTCACACTGCAGTACTCAGCATTTCTCATGGAGACTAATTTCATGCCCGTATTTACTGTTCCCTTTTGACCTGTTTCAACTGTGACACCTTAAAAACCATGCTTCTTAAATTGCTGTGGTGGGTCGACTCACCAAAGCTGCTCTATCACTTCCATCCTGAGCTGGACAGGGAAGAGAAAATATAATGAAAGGCTGGTGGGTCAGGATAAGGACAGGCAGAGATTACTCGCCAATTACTGTCACAGGCAAAACAGACTCGACTTGGGGAAATTAATTTATTACTAAACAAATCAGAGTAGGATAATGAGAAATAAACTAAACCCTTAAAAACACCTTCCCCCCACCCCTCTGTTTTTCCCAGGCTTCACTTTACTCCCAAATTCTCTGTCTTCTTCCACCCAGAAGCACAGGGGATGGGGAACAAGGGTTGTGGTCAGCTCATCACACGTTGTCTCTGCTGCTCCTTCCTCCTCAGGAGGAGGATTCCCCACACTCTTCCCCTGCTCCAGTGTGGTGTCCCTTCCCAGGGGAGACAGCCCTCAATGAACCTCTCCAATGTGAGTCCTTCCCACAGGCTGCAGTTCTTCACAAACTGCTCCAACGTGGGTCCCTTCCACAGGGTGCAATCCTTCAGGAGCAGACTGCTTCAGTGTGAGTCCCTGGTGGGGTCACAAGTCCTATAGCAAACCTGCTGCAGCACGGGCTCTTCTCTCCATGGGGTCACCGGTCCTGCCAGGAGCCTGCTCCAGTGCAGGCTTCCCACAGGAGGAAGGTCGCAACCCCCTTTGGGCATCCCTGTGCTCCAGTGTGGGGTCCTTGAAGGGCTGCAGGTGGAGATCTGCTCCCTCTGCTGCCTGAAGCACCTCCTCCGCTCCTTATTCACTGACCTTGGGGTCTGCAGAACTGTTTCTCACGTATTCTCAGTCCTCTTTCTGGCTGCAATTGCTGCTGTGCTGTGTCAACCTTCTTAATGGTGTTATCCCGGAGGTGTTACCACCACCACTGACAGGCTCGGGACTTTGCCAGCAGCAGGTCTTGGAGCGGCTTGCATTGGCACCATTTGACACAAAGGAAGCTTCTGGCAGCTTCTCACAGAAGTCACCCTTCTAGCCCCCCTGCTACCACACCCTTGCCACACAAACCCAAAACAATAGCAATGAAAGTGGAAGTTTGTAAGTGTCATTTATACAATGGAATTGCTTATGAACTGTTAATTGTGGTGGCTGCAACTATCATACTGTGTGTAGTCAAAGTTGCATTTCATTAAGATATTAGGTCTCCAAAACAAAAATAACACCAATGTCCCTCTAGGAGTCAAAGTTATCCATTTCTGGCTTAGACTTAAGTAGATGCATCAGTGGCAGATTAAGTTTTAGTTTGGTTTTGAATTGATACTAGTAGCTGTTGAAATTAGAGTTGCCTTTTTTTTTTTTTAACAGCAATGCATTGTTTAATAATACAACATCATTCTTCTTTTCTACCTTTTGTTTTTAAAAATAATTTTGTATTTTGTTTTGGTTTGCATTTCCTTTCACACGATATATATATGACACTTAAGTTTGGAATTTTTGTCTTCATTGGCTGGTTTTGACACAAAACCTAATCAGGTTCAGAAGTGGTCCCACACCTGCTTTGTGTCACAGATTTTTTGAGATCTGCTTATCATTCTACTAAGGGAACACAACAGAATCTGTTATGTGGTGCCTTATGAAGCCTGGTTTTCGTATCACTAGGAAAACAAGAGCTGTGAAAGAGCAAATGGTTGCAGCCCATGGTCAGGAGAAAATATGAAAGTGGAAAAGGAAAGAGGATGGAGGGAGCTAATGTTGCCTCCCAGTGCAACTGCTATGTATTTCATATAGTAGCTCATGTAGTTCATTCTGTGTGCTTCAGTAACGTTATGAGTAGGCAGTAGTATGGTGTGGGCAATCAAGTTGAAGAGCAGCTAGCTAATTAAATGATGAATGATATCTTAGCAGAAAAAGCTAGACTCAAAACCATGTTCCGTCTTTCAGGCAGGGTAAATTATTCTCTGATAGAATAGGATTTTTGAAAACAGCGGGAAAAATTATAGAAGCATTAAGAGTCTACAGACCTCACTGATGGTTTATAGTGGGCACAGAAGTTTGAATAAAGCATTTTCAAACAGAACTAATTATTTGGCATAGAGGATTTTGACTATGACAAGAATGAGCTTATAAAGGTTTGACATTTTATGCAGCGTTGTAGGCAGAGGGGTGACTGAGTTTGGTCATTTGCTACTACGTATTTCCTTAGGAGATGGAGCACAATAATATTTGGAGCACATAACCATAAAACATAATGGCTAATCTTGACTGTTTTTAAGAAGCTTTGATTACCAAATTTCTATGTATTAGATCTTCTATCTTTTGTTACTGTATTTGGAGGGATACATATGGTAAATCCAACTTTATGAATGCACCCAGGGGAAAAAAAAGCAAGCTTTATAAAATTATTTTAATGTTAATTGATGTAAAGTACACTTTGAGGCTACGTAAGTAAGAAATGTAAATTGGTTATGTGGCATTTGTATACTGAAGAATTTGTATTGTTTCATTTACATAATGCAGTATGTCACTAAGGAGAGAGGTTATTGACCAGATCTTGGTTCAAATGGACTTGATTTCTAACCTAGGTCTTAAGGCTTTGTTTTGTGCCAGCTTTTCTGAATTGTTCCCTGCTGCCTGTGAGATATCTTTCATCAAAACCATATTATGTGGGAAAATGCAAGTTCTGTTAATGTTGAAAATTTCCACAAAAATATGCATTTTTAAAGGCAGAGGTTTTTTTTGGGGGAGGTATAAAGAAGTTCCACATTTCAATACCTTATTTCTTACATGCATAGTATAATATATATAATGTATGCTACTATAATTTAATATATATTGCATAAATACATATTACTTTATAGTATGCAGCATATATATCTCTCTTTTTTTTTTTTTGATCAAGTGTTAAAACTACTCATTGTATACAGGAAGCTCTCTGATCTAGAAGTTTACAAAAGACAGCAGGTTCCTTTAAGAATAAAAAATAGAGGTAAATATGAAACAACATTTCAGACCACAAAGTGTGTTTTCACTATTACTGTCAATAGGAATAAAATGTTTGTAAAGCAGAAACATTTAAAAAAAAATCACTTTTGCAATAAACTTCATTATTTCACACAAACGTATATCTACCTGTATATATGGATAAAGACAAACATTGAAAGTACATGTAATCCAGAAATTGTGGTAGTGGTTTACTTGATGTATTATTTTTAATTGAATTTCTTATTCTTTCCTTTGGTCAATTAATTTGTTTCCTTGGATATGTATTGCTTGGATATGTATAGGGGTAATCTACTGTTGGTACAAGCATTGCATTAGCAGCAGGGCAGACCTGAATTAATAATCATGTCCTTCATTTTTGTTTTTTACTGACGAGGGTTTTTTTTTCCTTCCTCCTTTTTTTTTTTACCCTAAAGAACCTGTTGTTGGTTGTTGCAAAGTATGTATTAAAATAACACACTTGGGCTCCAACTGGAAGAAGAGAGCTCCGTCAGTGCGTTAGAACTGGAGAAGGTAAGTACATCCAGGTGGTATAGTTTGTAGTTCTGCTTCAAAATCTGAAGGAATTAGCAAATGTCTTGCCTATTAAAGGCATACTTCTATTAGAACAGAAGTATAGTCACAGTGTTCTTGAATAAATTAAGGATCTATCCAAGGTACTGGAATGGGGAATGTTTTAAGTTTTGGTACTGCTTGAAATGGATTTTCTTATGCCTTGATTCTGATTTGACATTTTTCAGACTCATGTAACTGCATGACCTTTAATAAAATGACACCCGAGTGATACCTATGGTGGGGGGAAGAGAAAAACAGCAGGTCTCCTTCTCATCCCAGTGGCCTACGATCTCTCTGCCTCATTCACAAAAAACCATGGGAGCTTGAAAAAGCCAAGATTTCAACCAAAAGAAACCGTCATTCGAGTGAGTTGTCTAATGAACATAAAAACTAGCAAAGTTGGAAGATTTGCTTTTGTCTGTATGTGGTGATATCAGATGAGAAAACAGGATGTCTATTTTGGAAGCAGCTAACCTGTAACATGTACAAATCAATAGGAATTTTAACTCCTCTGTAACACTGATAAAAACCAATGCAAGTTTGTGGCACTTATTTAATTTTATTTGCCCTGCACGCCAATGGTGCTAAAAATAGATCACTGTCAAATATTGTGAAATATCAAGCAGAATTAAATCTCTGTGGCTATTAATTTTCCCCATGAATTTTGCTGCTTCTTAAATGAAAACATATTCCAAACTTTTTTTAACAAAGCACCTATTTAGGTCTACGTGGCTGGACCTCTTTGGTCTTCTATGTGTTTTTGACAATAGTGCCCACTCTGGCCAGAATGAACCTGAGCTGGTTACAAGTCAAAAGGCTGGCATGTGCCATGAAGAAAATGGAAAACCAGAACACAAGTTGTGATGATTTAAGAATTATTTCAGTAGGACTGATAGTTCAGTGGGAGGACTGGGTGATGCTTTTCCAGGTGCTAAATTCTGAGGAGCCAAGAGGCCTTCATCCTTTGGAGGTTCAAAGCCTAAGCTTTAATTTGAGCATTGATCTTATGGTATATGTGAGTGTAGTTTCTTGAAAAGGATTTTTTAATTGTATTTCAATAATGATAAGAAGGCAGCAAATTTGTCAAGTCATGCATGAGGAACCACCAACCAGCCCTTGGGTAGTTGGTGCAATTGGGTGGCCTGTTTGATATTTTCACAGCAATATCTACAGCTTGACTCTATGAAAGGGGTGAAGAAGAAAATAAAATCTCAATAAATTAAAATACTGTGTTTCATTCTGAACAAATTTCTAAACTTACATTATGGGATCTGTCACCTACCAGCTAATCACAGTGAAACCAGGAGGTATCACAGCAAAAGCATGGCATGGTACAGCACAGGTGGCTGAGTTAGTTCAGTTGCTTTTAGGGGTTCCTTTTATGGTTTGATATTGCTGGCTTAGCTGTATCTCTAACCTATCTGTTCAGAGACAGAAATGAGGGTAAAAGCAGAGGAGTTTCTCTAACACCAAGCAGCTGGTCTGTAATCTCTATTCATGGTGTAAACAGGAACCAGCCTTACAAGAAGTATTTCTTATTTTGGCAACGTCATATCTGAATCTAAATGAACACTGCCCTTTTTCAATAATTGTTATAGTTTGAAAACCTGCTGAAATTTAAGTTTACTTTGCAAGAATATTGTTTTCCAAATATGTCTTTCATCAGCTTCTCATCCTGATTAAAGATATTATTAGAGCTCTGTAATAATGGACTGAGAGATGATCTCTCTTAAAAGAACAAAGTAATCAAAACATGAGTTGCTTTCAAAGCTCAAAAGAGATGGGATTTCATTTAATATTCTGTTGTCATAATTTCAGATAATTAAAAGCTGATCTAATGACAGTAGATGTTAGTTGAGAGAATTCAATCTCTATAGTGCTATACTGGGTCTTGAGAGAGCAGTGTGGATGTTGAGTTTGCATACTCTCATGTGAAGACAAATGTCTACCTGAGCTTCCAACTCCTTACACAAAGCCAATTGTGTTCATGTGGCTCTGCGATAGGTCCAGATATCTGCATACCTGAGAATGCTACAAAATGTCTTGCAAATGGTTTGAATTTTTGTTTGGCTTTTTCAAACACAGTTATTATTAAATGGTTTCATATTGCTTCATTAGAGACATTTCTTCAGTTGTGTGCTGTAGGCACAGACATTCTTTAATAAAAATCATTTCCAGTTGATGGCTGCCTATGGCATGCTTCACAGTATTTGGAGAAAAAGGTAACCTGTTAATATGCCTGGTTTGAATTATTGGTGCTTGAAAATGCTGGATTATATTTTTATGTTATTTTAATGAGTAATCAGATCACTAACAAGTCACCAACAGCCTGCATGGTTTACTAGCAGACTGGAAAAAAAAAGAGAAAAAAAGCAACAACAAAGAATAAGGTGAACACATTTTGTCAGCAGAGTATTTGGCATCTTCTAAAAAAAAACAAATAAAATCTATGATTTATTTCTAATAAAAGACCTGTCTCAGCAGGTAAAAATCTGGTACAGAGGATGTTTAGATTTCAGTCCCTAGTGACAACACTTTAAAGGGAAACAGTTTTCAGCCATCTGGAAAGTGGTCTCACAGCGTCTCACCTGTGCCTCAAGAGCACAGGGTGCGAGCGAAGGTTGAGCAACTACACAAAGCCAGAGCTCTCCCTCCATGGTACTGATTGATTTGATGGCTTGGCTTTACGAGCAAAGATTTGGGAAGGGGTTTAAGCGCGCTTACTACAAGCACAATGACCAAGGGCAAGTGGGATATCCAAATCTGGTTGGAAAAAAGGCTGCTTAGGCAATCAGGAAGTGTCCGACCACGATTGTCAACTCCTGAGCTAACTCAAGCTACCCATGGCTGGTCCGCCCACATGCAGTGTTGGATCTGTAGCTTCCCATGCACCTTGTCACCTACTGTTTCGACCCCTGCCCATCGATACAGACAAGTGAGAGTAAGCCCTTCCAGCCTGCGCAGTGGATTTTTTTAGGTGAAGAGCTCCATTGTACTACTTCAGCAGGAAGTACCACTGGCTAGGCCAGGTCATCACCATGGCTTACCAAGGCTCGGAGGAACTGAGGTAGTGGTTGATTTGGGGTTGTTTAATTTTTAAAGGAGCACATGTGCTTACTTCTTTCTCTCCCACCAGAGTTCTCTGGATATCCATTCTAACCTAAATTATTCAGTGATTCAAAGAAGATTTTTAAAGTTTTTATTGAAAATATGGGTGTGCTTCTGCCATTGGAAATGGATTTGTCATAACAATAGGACATCAATTACTCTTATTGCCTGAAATAAAAATTGGCATCCTCTGCACTAATCCCCAAATATACAGTCAAGATACTATTGTATCACGTGTTTAAAGTTCCTTCACTGACTTAAGTACTGTTATAACATGCTAAAGAATAAACAGGCACCTGCTCCAGTAGTGCTGAATTTGCTCCCAAATTTCAAGTTATCAGCTGTAAAATTAACTGCATGGTGTGCATCATGTGATTTGATATTGGTCTTAAAGACTTCTATAGATTTATAATATCAAGCAGTAGGAATATTTAGTATTACTTCTGGTAGTGTAATCATTTCTCATTATCGTTTATCATCATTTTGCAATGCAGTGGCTGAATGGAAGCAACCCCATATAGCTGTTTGCCATTAAAAGATCATTTGCCAGCAGCAGCAGCACATAGTTCTGTGTAGGTTGGTACCCAGGCTAACTTTGGAAGCTAAATACAGTAGCTCATGTGACATTGTATGCTCACTGCTGGGAGCTGGCGAGTTGTTAATGACACGTTATACTTTTTTTTTTGCACTATAAATCTTGGAGATGTTCTCCTTTTACAGAAACAATAGTTCAACCTGCAGGTCAGTAATTCTTCAGGTCTGGTTGGAGCTAAGGTCTTTGGTTAAATTTGTCTTCATTGCAAGTGCTTTCAGAGATAATCTTGCAGCTTTCATCAGTTGGTGATGCAGGAGCAGGTTCATGCCTAAGAAGCTAAGGAGACCACAGCTTTTCTCCCATTTCTGGTAACTTTTGCAAGGAAGGAAACATTGCTGTAGCTTCTTGGTTGGGTAAGCTACTATTATCCATGTTAAAGTTGTTTTATCCTACTACCCATTCTGGAGGCGCTGGTCATTTGAGGTACAATGTGAAAGTTGCATTCTGAGCTGTTGGAATTGGCAGTGGAAACTGTAGAGGAGTTTTTCCTGTTGAAGGGGGTAAAGTCACTGGAGTAACTTTGTTGTGTGTGTGTGTAGAATATAGAATCTTAATATTCTTCTCTCTGTACTGTGTTTTCTTTTACTTTTATACTGTCTAAATCACTTGAAATTTGTGACTATTTATTTAGTCTCATAATCCCCTTGAGTGTAATTGAGTATCCCCATTTCACAGATAAGGTACTAATTGATTTCCTTGCATTATGCAGAGAATTTGGCAGAACAGAGAGTTGAATGCATGTCTCCAGAGCCTAAGATTCCCTCAGTACTTACTGGGCCGTATTCTTTTTCTGTGTATCCCCTTTTCCCCCCATTTTGTTCCTTCCCCCCCCCCCCCCCACTATTGAGCAATGTGCCCTGCACTGTAGAGGGTAAACACAGATAGCCTCTAAGATGTCAGTTTAGAAATGTGTCTTAAATAAAAATCCAATCTGGATACACAGAGGATACCACTCCAAGGAGAAGGATGGGTAGTAATGGATGTCAGAGGACACTGACATAGTTCTGCATCAGCTTGCATCACTTGATGGGCTCTGAATCCCTGCTGTTAGCATGCAAGATTGCATAATAATAAACCAAAGACCTCTAATAATGTCTCAGTGTTTTTCACCTTAAAATGCTTGCTTATTTTCTTACTATATTTTTTTTCCAAAGCAACTATTTCCAGAGCATTTACATATTCAATGATTGGTATTTGAAAACATGAAACTGCCCTTTGTTAAGAGCTACTTCTGACTTATATGTTGTTCTATGTGCATTGAAAAACTCTAGCATTTGCTAAGTATAAATGTTAATAGTGGTCACTGGTGCTGTGTTCTGACAGATACCAAAACTAGAGATCTTTTTCCATTGCTTCACAATATATAAAGTGAAAGTTACTTTACTTACTACCATTAAAAGTAAAAAAGAAGTTATATGAAAACAGTTGCAATTACAAAGGCAATTAGTGAAAATTGGTATTACAAATTAAGCTGTCATAGATGCCATGTATGCCTTGCTTGATGTGGTCTTTCTAATCTGGACTATGTAATTTTTTAAGGCTGTAATATTTCATAATGTTTTATTACAAATCATTATTTTAGTTTTATAAAACATGTATGCTTTTTCTCCTAAGAGGCCAAAATGGCTACAGGTCTTTCAAATTAAATACTGTACATAATTATATAATCTTAAAAATGCATCTTATTTACCCAGAACTGATTCCAGTCTCTTTACAATACACAAATAAGTCAGCCAATTTTTTTCGGTGGGTATTTACAAAGCTGCGTAGCCTATCAGTCAATATGCGGTATGGTATCTTGCATAAATATATACTTTAGTACATTTAAGCTGTGACTTGCAGCATGCAAATATGAGCTGGGAACCCCTCACTGGAACTGATGCTGCTATGTATGTTCAATTATAAATGTAGAAAACAGCTTTTAAAACCCTCAAACAAATCTGTCTTAACAGCAGCTCAGATGTTTTTTATAACAGTATTTACTTGGGGGACACAGCGGCACAAACTCCACCTTTTAAAGCTAATAGATCTCTGCACAGGAATTCAATTCTGACTCTTTTTTTGAACTAGGAGGTGATTATGTTTAACAAGGCAATGAGTTTCTCACAGTTTACCATTTCA